CACAGGGCATGGCACAACATGGCATGGCACAGAATGGCACAGAACAGCACGGACTGGCACACATGGCACAGCACACAGGGCATGGCACAACATGGCATGGCACAGAATGGCGCAGAACAGCACGGACTGGCACACATGGCACAGCACACAGGGCATGGCACAGATGACATGGCACAGAATGGCACGGAACAGGGAGACCCCAAAAGGGTCACGGCTCAGTTTTGATGCTCAGCATCTTCTGGGATCAAATCCCTGCCCACCTCCACAGGATCCCTTCCTTGCAGGAATCCGATGCTCACAAAAGGAAATCACTGCTAAAAAGTGGGCAATGCCCCCCAAAAGGTGCCGTTTGCCAGGATGCCAGGCCATGGCCAACCTGCACATCCTTGGGATCCTGGGGGGATCCCGCACTAACTCCCACTGGATTTTCCAGTCTCTGCCATCACACCCCAGTGTGTCACAGCACCATCCAAGCCTGACTAAAAGCACATTAAAAAAGGCCCTTATGAATATATAATTAAAAAAAAAAATTAGTGTGGGGGCTCGGGATACTTTAAAAGTCCAGCTGTTGGGCAGAAACGGGAACAGGAGAGAGCACGGCCAGCTCCAGCACCTCCTCCCTCAGCACTTGGAAAGGCTGGAGCCCAACCAAATGAGCTGCAAAGGGCAACAGTTTGCTGGGAACTGTTGAAAGGCGAAGCTGGAGCCGCTCAGGTGCCGAGGGGGCGGCGCGGGGGGGCCGGGCCGGGTCCCTTCCGCTCCCCTGCGCCGGGAATCCAAATCTTCCAACAAAGGATTGCCTGCGATTTTGATCTTTTAATGGTCCCCTGTGTAAGCCCCTCGTTCCATCCAGCTTAAAATCAGATTGAAATGCACTCCTAACCCTCTCCCGCTGCACATTATCGGCAAGCCAAGCGGGCAGAGTGCTGCTCCTGCTTTTTATTTCTCCCTCGCAGCAGGCCCTGTCATGTCCAATACATCACCGGAGCCCCCGGAGGACCCTACATATGTCCTAGTTCAAGGGAAGTGCTTTGTCTCTGTCAGGGGTGCCCGGGCTGGAGCACAGGAATGCCAGGGCACACAGCCCGTGGATTGGGAGCCGCCCGACCCAGTCCCTTGGGCACCCCCCGGGTGCTGGGTGCCCCGTTCCCAGCCCTTTCCCTGCATCCCCAAGTCCTGGCAGGAGCAGAAACAAAGCTGCTGGTGATGCCTTTGGGATGGAAAAGGGAAGGATGGGGTTTGGGATGTCTGAGGAGTGCCCAAGGTGGAGCCCATCCCTTGGCACCTGGTGAGGGGGAAGATGCCAAGGGCTGGGGATCCAGAGGGCTTCTCCCATCAATCCTGAGCTTGGCCCTTCCTCCATTGGACCTCCATCATCACCCCATGGATGAGGAAGGCCCTGTGCCCCCCAGCCCCCCAGACCTTCTCATGCTTTCATCAACCCCTCAGTGCAGGATTTCAGGGATCAGAGGGTTTAGAGACACTTTGCTTTCGGTTGAGCTTCAGTACATTTACTTTTTATTCTTTTTTTTTTTTTTTCTCTTTTTCGCCCTTTTTTACAAAAACCAGTGGTAGTTATTAACAGCTGTACAGATTCTGCTACATACTTTGGTGTAAAGTTGAGAGCCTGACTCCGGAACGCTCGGCCAGCTCCGGTACATGCAGTTCCTGGATTTTATTCTCGTTATTTCGGGGAGGAAAACCAAGCACCGACCTGCAAACCAGTGACTCGGGGGGACACAAAGCTGGGGGTGACCCCACTGCTGGAGGGTTTTGCCCTGGGAGGAGGTCAGAGCCCCCCAAGCCTTTCCAACACATCCCATCTGTGCAGACGGGGATGCTCCGAAGGCCACGGAGAGGGGATGCTGTGCCCAGGTTTGGGGGCACAGGGGAATGGACAGAGCTGCCCCCACAGATCCCAACCAGCCCCAGGATCAACCTGAGCCCCAAAACACACCTGGGGCACCACTGAACCCCTCCTGTTGGCACCGGGGGCACCTTCAGAGTCATTAATCTGAGCCAAACCACCCTAAAATCACTCGCCCTAAACGCAGCTTTAAAGAACTTGATTTTTCCTTTGCTGGATCATCAGTGCCCAAAACTGATCCCACACACCACACACACCCCGTGCCTGGGTCCTTCCCTTATTTTTACTTTGAAAAGGGCTAAAAATCTCAAAAACCTCTTAATTTGATGGGAAAAATAACGATTTCCCATGAGATCTCTCCTCCTTCCAACCCCAGCTCAACTGCCCACACCTGGAGCAGCTGCAGGGCTGGGAGAGAGGCTCCTCAGAGGGATGCAATGCCAGGTACCAACTCTCCATCCTCCTCTCCCCCCTCTCCAAACCATTCTCCCCATAACCCTAATCATTATTAATTTTGGACCAGATTCAAATCGCAAAAAATAATCCATAAAAATGTCGTATAAAAATCCTCTTCCATATGCTACAATACAGGGTGAGCACTTCTGCTACACAAATACTTTTATTTGCCCGTTAGGTCTTTTTTTTTTGTTTTTTTAGTCCTTTTTTTTTTTCTGTCCTTTTTTTTAACCCTTTAGTACAAAAGGCTGACACAGGCCTGTGGGGGGAGGGGATTGCTCCAAAAGACCAGAAGACACAAGACCATAAAGCCCACAGGACCACAACCAGCCCCGGCCCCCCCACCACACACAAACCCTACTTGTTAGTAAACTTTTTGCTTCTTAAAAAAAAAAACAACCAAAAAAAAACCCAAAAAACCAAAACCAAAAAAAAAGAAAACCAAAAAAAAAAATCTGTATTTTTTTCTTTTTCTTTTTTTTTTTTTTCTTTAAAGGTTATCAATTCTAATTCTTTACTTTCATTTGAATACAAAACACATAAGTTGCTTTATCTTTCGTGGCTCCCTGAGCTGAATTTTCTAAGCTTTCTTTGAAATCACTCCTCATTGCTTCTGTCCGAAGACCAAGAAGGGCTTTGCGCAGACGGTCCCGCAGCGTGGGCTTCCCCTTTTGCTTCAAACATCCAAGCACGGAAAAAAATAAGGATAAATCCATATATATAAAAAAAAAACAAACAAAAAAACAACCCAAAAAACCCCCCAAACCCAACCAGGTGACTTGTGTTGATGTCCCGTCAGCAGCTGAGGATCTCCGAGCGCTCCCGGGATTCCAGCGGCGTCCCACCGTCACTAACACACCCAACGACGCACGGGGACCACAGGAGGGACAACTCTGCACCACTGGACAGCTCCTCTCAGCCTGCACGGCATAGTCACATCCCCACGGACACTTCCAGAGGGGGCAGGGAGGGAAGGAGGAGGAAAGAAAAAAAAACAACCAAA